GCTGCAGGGGGAGGTCAGTGAAGGAGTCTCAGTTCACGGTAATTACTTGAGTCTTTCTCTCTTATGAGAAACACAGTCATGCATGAAATGAAGCGTGCTCATAGTGTCATCTGTCTCATTTGCTCTTGCTTTGTTGACGCTGTGTGTAACCCCTGTGTTCCATCCTCGCACACAGTCTCGCAGACCGCTTGCCTGGTAAACAGCCCCTCTGTGCTGGAAGCAGCATTGTTTTAACCTCAAAGCAAGGATGCATGTGCTTGGGAGTGATCTTATTGGTTCTCTTCTGTTTGGGAAGCCGCTGTTGCTTCCAGCCAGGTGTCTTTGTTGGTGCATGTCTGGACTGTTGCCTTCACTTTGAGTCCTGACTCCTGAATAATTCAAAATTAAGGAGAATTTAGCCAACCATACTTAAATTAGCAGAAGGCAGTAGGCTCCTGATTTGTTGTCTGGCTTTTAGCTGGAGAAGTAATGTGCCATTGTTTCTTCACAGATGTGTGCAGCCTTCATTTTGGATGGCTTTCTTTGTCTTACCTTTTGTAGTTTGAATGAAGCTTCTTTAGTGCAGAGCGGGTTAGCAGATCACATTCTGAGAGATAGGCACATATAGGTGTTTATCAGCCACGCCTGAGCAAGTATTGACTCGGCGGCTTTGTTTAAAAGACACCACTCTTGCAGTTGAAATGTCACAGCAGGCAGATGGGTTCTTACTACTCTGGTTGCTGCCCAACATTTTCGTTTCTACTTAGGATTGTGTGGTTTATTTTCCAGACAAGGCAGGAAAGAATCTTAAATTCTGTAATGGAGGTAACCTACTATGAAGGACAAAAGAGTTAGCAAGACCAAGGCTCCAAAAATCCTCAAAAAGCAGCCCACCCTGTGATGGGTCCAGAGCCCCTGCTTCTGTTTGAGTCCTTTAAAAACTTGAAAGCTAATGTCCTTCCATATCAGACCACAGACTCTACAGAAACTTGTCTTGAGTCACCTGTCACAGGGCTGGCCAGCTGCCACCATGCGTCTGCTATGGGCAGAGAGTCAGGCAGGTTCTGACAACTGTCAGGAATTTTTTTGTGCTCCCGAAAAGCTGAGGTTGCAATTTTCATACTCTGTACAAATAAATGCCCTCACCCAGGTCCGTGCCCTGCTTCAAGTGGGTCAGTCTGTAGTCATCGGCAGCAGAACGCGTAGGGTTCCTAACTACACCTCACCACATGCCCTCACTCCCAGATCTGTTTGAGAGAGAACAAATTACCCAGTGTCAGCACTTAGGTTAGCAGTGACAGGAGGGAAGTAGAGTATTGTGGAAGTTGGGTGCATGGTACTGGGATGATGAAGTTCGATGGCCTTTAAGCAGTGCTACCCTGTGTCTCTGTGCCTTGAGGCAGTGGAGAGGGGGGATGTTTTCAGCCTCCAGAAACTCTGAGTGGTTTAAGAAACACACAGCCCTTCTTTCATGACACCCCTGGTGCAAAGCCAATGAATCTCATGCGGACAGTGCCCACCGTGGTTCACTCCCGGCTGTTTCAGAGAGGCCAGCTTTAGGCAGGAGAGTTTGGTTTTTCTTCAGAAGTCCAGACACCCCTTCTATCTGACAATCCCCTATTGCAGACATAGACAGAACCTTGCTGCCTTTTAAAACTTAGGCCACTCCTCTGGGGAAGAAACATTGATGAAGTTCTATAATATTCTTATTTATGTATCTTTGTATATGCACAACTATTATTTATTTGCAGGGTTTGGATCATGTGGGCTAGCCCTGAGATATATCTCCCTTGCTTCCAAATTCTTAGTCTCCTGGAATACTCCAGACCTTTGTAAGGAGACGGCCTTAAAAGTAGATTGCTGTTGTCTTTTCTTTATTTACTGCCAAAGCTTTCTCCACCTGTAAAACTGCACAGGATGCCGTCTGAGAGCTGCACCCAATTGTTGTATGTTACTGGAAAAGCTAAAAAATGGTGCCTGTTCTCAGGAGCTGAGGATGGCTCATCAGGAATCACCGTGTCTTAAGGAACTTCTTACACCCTTAAATATGAATGTGTGCTTCGTGCCTTGCAAGGCTATACCTGTCTTCTGCTGATGGCCAATGATGCCATTTAACATAAAGGCTATATTAATAGCAGAACTAAAAGAACTTCATGTTTTTGCAAAGTAACCCAATATGCACTTTTATCTTCAACTTTATCATTTAACTTTTTTGTTCTTAATTCATTGAAATCTATCCCTAAGAAAAGAAAAATGGACTTTTTAGACACATTAAAATTTTGTTCATTCTACTTCAAATTCTGTAGCTCGTTGAAAGAAAAGTAATAATTCTGACCCATCAAAAATAAGTTTATCAGTGTGAATATGAAATATAATATTTTAAGAATTAAAGCAGCCAGGACTTGAGAGGCAGAGGCAGATGGATCTCAGTGAGGTTGAGGCCAGCCTGGTCTACAAAGAGAGTTCTAGGACAGCCAAGATTATTACACAGAGAAACCCTGTCTGGGAAACACACACACATACACACACACACACACACACACACACACACACACACGAGAGAGAGAGAGAGAGAGAGAAAGTATTTTCAGAGGGTTGGGGACATATGGGGACATAGCTCAGTTGGTAGAGTGCTTGACTATTATGCATGGGGACCCTAGGTCCAATTCCTGCTATCCCAAAACCAAAAATAGATAAAACATTTTCAGTATTTGATACTTTGTCTCCTTCTTGAAGCCTACGGTGATACATGTAGGAACCAGTTTGAATGTGGAAGGCATAGAATATGGTATGCTTCAAAACAGCAGGGCTCAACAGGTTCTGAAAAAAAATAATTGTCAAAAATAGAGCAAGGGGAAGTGTAGGCTGCTGGACACAGGACTTCCAGGGCAGGACAGTCGGTAGCTTGTGACTGCCCCTTGGGTACCTGGGATTCCAAAAGAATGGGGAGAGATATCATTTGCGGTTGATGACTATTTCAGGGTTGGCACTTTCGAAGTTCCCTGGATCTGAAAAAAGCTGTCATAGGTTTATTCCTCTTTCATTCTTTTACTCTGCAGCTTTTTACCACCACGAGCTATAGGCTGTTAACTGCTTTGTAAGAAAAAGATGAAAAGCCTAGTCCTTCTTGCAAGAAGTGTTTTCTTAAGAACAGACCCTAAGTAACTACTAGTGGGAGCGTGGGAACAAGCCTGTACTTTGTTTGCCCATGCCAGTGTGAGGGACTTGGTCCTTAGGAAGAAGGCAAAAGCAATGCCTCTACCCCATGCTTCCTACTTTGCACAGCACATATGCTAATCATGCCAGCAAGGCATGCATGTAGCCTCAGGGCTGTGTGTGTTTTGAAGTATCACCGTGTCCTATTTTAGAATACATGAGAAATGTAAACTATCATTTACTCTCTGCCTCAGCTGTCTCAGAACCTATATGTGCTTGCTGCCTGAAAAAAAGAAAAAAAAAATGTTATTGTTAATATGTCTGCATCACAGTAGGCTTGAAAGTTTTAAGAATGTATTCACTAATTTAAAATTTACCTAGAAAGAATCACCAAATGCTTCTATGACTCTTGTAGTCTGAGTAATTCAGTGATTAATTTTGGATGTATTCACATTGCCACAAAATACTCTTTCTGCTTTTGGGTGCCAGTAGTTAATTTGTCATTTATTTTCTAGATACTCAGTAAGGACAAGCTTGTAAAACCGGACCTTGAACAGTAAATCTCATTGCACCGTGCGTGCCATGACTAAGGCATCTGCTTTTCTGGCACACGTAGAAAATAATTTCTGAAAATGCCATATACTTTAAATTTAGATGTCCTTTAAGTCTTGATGAATTGGTAAGGGAGGGTCACTTTAAAGGCCAAGGATTCTTGCTACATTTTACTATGTGTAAAATCTCTACATGGAAATGGGTATCATACTTACCTTCCCTATGGCCTTCAGTCCAGGAACCTCTTAGTGCCCCCGGTAGCTCCTCCCCCAACCAGCATTTCTGCTTTCTTTGGAACCTTGGAAGTAGCAGCTTCTGCTTCCCACTCTCATAGCGCCCAACAGTCCGAGTCTACAAGACTGCTTCTTGTCTCCACTGGCCTGGGCAGCCAGCTGCACTCTGGCATGATGGCCACCGAAGCCACTGTCATCTTAGGCTCCTACCCAGACTACCTTCTAAGTAAATGTCCTCCAAGGCTCTGCCTTTCATGGACTTCTTGTCTGTGCCACATACACACTGGTCACTCATGTGTGCCTGCCTCATGTCCCCTCACCTGGGGCCCTTAGGATTTCTTGCACAGTTAGGCTAGATGGCTTCTCCTTGACTTTTCCTCCTGCCTAGAACCTGCTTCCCCAGGCCTTCTAGAATCTTCCCATTGGGTTTTGATTAGTGGACACATCTCCGAAGGATGTTCTGAGATAGTATCTATTTTTGTTTTGTTTTTCTTCCCTAATCCCTCCTCTCTGGGTTGTATATTCCATGAAATCCGATTTTGGCCTTAAACCCCCAGAACCTGGAATAGTACTTGGCTTCTGGAAAATGTTCAGTAGGTGACTGATGAATGAGTTAGTAAGTGAATGAGAAAATGAACAAATTCCTTGTAACATGGAAGTCCTGTGGCAACCGGGATCTGTGCTCCAGCCTGCTGATCGAGTCTTACCCAGGCTTTCCCTGGAGTGGGCCTGGGTCTCCTGCTCTGTGGATGGGAAGAGCCAGCCAGCCCCGAGGTTGTGTTTATGTGATTTCTCTAACCTCACTTTACATGGTTCTTGTGGCTTGAAATTGTTATTGTGGTTAAATTCTCTCCTAAAAGCAAAATAAAAGCAGGCGTTGAAGAGTCGAGTGAGGTGCCTTATAAATAAAATACACAAAATGAATGCATTTGTGTTACTTACATATTTGCTACCTAGTATTTAAATATACATTGGCTAATTTTTAACAGAATCACTATTTTATGATGCTAAATACATTTAATAATCTTCCTATTTTTCCAAATAAATAACACTAGTAGCCTTCTCTTTCTGTGTTTTCAGATATTTCCTGCTGCGGAGAGCACTTTAAGCAAGGAAGGCTTTCCTTGGCCTCTGCCTGCATTCTATAAAATACTCATTGCCTTTTCGGTAAGTGACAGCTTTGCTTTAATCCATTCTAAGCAGCAACTATTGATTGTCTCTGAGCTGTGTCATTATTCTATTAAGACAAAGAGCCTGGGGTTTCCTGTATTTTGCTCTCAGCCCCTAAGTAAACAGATAAGCCCCACCACTGCCATTTCTCATATCTTATCTGCATATGTGCTAAGAATTACAATTGCTATGTACCGTAGTACCTGTCACTCTCCTCCCAGGTATTCAAAAGTTCCCAGTCATGTGCCTGGATTTGGAGACAGTATTAAAAAGTGAACAGTTTGCTCCTGAATGAGAAGCAGACTGTCTGAGATCCGGCAGGAGATGATGAGGTGGGTCCTGGGAGCTGATGTGGGCAACTTTGTTGATGCTCATCGTGAGACTCAGAGTGGTGAGAACGGAGCCTGAATTCCAGCTCAGAGACCAGGAGAGAGAGCACCAGATAGACAGTGCAGGTCAAGCAAACTGCAGCCCTGGCCCTTTTTGCTGTCTACGGATAGCAGTCAGTTCTCTTCCCAGGCCAAGCAATTGTGAGGCATTTCATCAGAGCTACTGAGCCAGATTTTATGTGTGTATGGTTAGAAAGATGCCACATATCAGCTGAGCTATAGGCACCAGCTCTTAGCCTGCCTCTGCTTAATTCTGATTGGGTCAGCTCAGCGTGGAAAAATTACTTAGAGTTGTGTTTATAACCGTTTACAGTTTTCTCATAAGTGGCACGCAGACCTACTGACTGCTTATTGTATCTCAGCCTCATTGACCTTCATTCTTACCTAAGTGCAAGCATTATGTCTGGGTTAGCGGCATGACCAGTACATATATAATCACATCACTAGCATTTTCCGTTGTTCTCAACAGTGCATTGAGGATGACATTGTTTTAGAGTACACACTGGGTGTTTGAAATGACTCCTCCCTGTTCATAGAAACTAGAATGAGAGGTGAAGTCATCGAGTAATAGGATATAAAATGATCTTACAGGCTTTTTCTTCATTTTTCTAAGTTTAATTTTCCTAGAACATGAGAAGCCCTGAGCATGCGACCTCAGTCAATTTTAAAAGAGTTGAGGGTGCCAGTTACTGAGAGGCCCTCATGAGGCCGCAGTTTCAGGGAGCAGGCTTAAAGGTCCCTTTGTTTGTAGTTTCTTGCTATCTTAATCAAACTGAAGTAACTGATAAAGTCAATTTCTCCTTGGAAAGATAACTTTTTAAGAACTTGCGTGCGGTAGATTGTATTCTTTTTTATTTTGCCTACTAGATGCTTGAGGAATCACTGGGAGTGAGCATAGCCCTTGCACACTTTCTGGTGTTAAGTGATCCCGACTGAAAAGGCATGCTAACTTTCCACAAACCCCCTTTTTCAAAGTTTCCTCCATAAAGAGCCCTGTGTTCCCGGCAGTGACTCAGCTTCCTTTCACACCAGCACCTCTGGCTTTTCTCTTCCCAGAGCAGCTCTTTGCCAAGAGAATGACTCAGAGCTCAGGTTCCCCAGCACAGTCAGGTGGGGCTCCCCTTGGGCCCTCTCTGCTGACCTTGAGCAAGATCTCCTCAGGAACCAGGGCAAGTCAGCTACTCTAATGAGACTCACGTGCCTTCGGGCCAGCCAGAACTTTTAAGAGGAGGAGACAGATAGGGCATTCTCTTGAACAAGCAGTTAAGGTTTTAGATGTTCATTCTAGAGAGCTTTCTGTAAGAGATAGCTAGATGGCCTGTGCTTTAAAAGAAAATTGTCCTGCCAAACGGGAACTATAACACTCATTTCGAAGATTTAGGATACATTTCTTGTGAGGTTCAAAAGAACTATTGATTATGATTACTGAGTTACCAGTTAAGATATATGGCACATTTAAAAAATCAAGTAAAAGACTAATCAAGTCTTTTTTTTTTTTTTAATCAAGTAAAAGAGTGATTCTGTTGCCTTGTGTACGCCATTGTCAATCATTCAGAGTTATCTCCATAGAGACAGATTGTGATTAGTATCATGGTCAGTGTAGTCACACGGAAAAGAAGGTCAGGCTGCATCTGAGTCCACAGTGTGGAGATGAGCACTGTGCTGGAGGTGACTCATACTCATCTGTCCTTCATACATGCCCTAAAAGCCAGCCTTAGAATCTTCGCGTGTAGATGAGGGAGGTAGGACTATGTTCGCCAGCCTTTCAACAGCATAGCAAGATGCCTGAAGTACAATGTAGAGAGAAAAGGTTTACTTTGACTCACAGTTTGGAGGTTCCAGTCTGATTGGCAGATCCATTATTTTTACGTGAAAGTGCCATTTGGTAGTAAAGGGGAACATGTGACCCAGCAATATGGCCCCTTTAGGACTAAGAACAAAAGAGGAAGAAGAGAGGGTGACTTGCTGTAGTCTCCTAAAGTATACTCCGCTGGTGACTTGACTTCTGCTACCCGGCATGTCACTGCGCAGTATCATCCCCTGGGAATCCAGCCTTTGATACGTAGGCCTATGGAGAGCATCAATTGTCCAATTCACTTTGCAGCAGGGATCAAAGAGATTAAACCTCAGACCAAAGGGCAACCTTGTGATTAAACCCTGGGCTCTAATGTCAAACCTCTCTAACCTTGACACTAGTTGATTTCTCTACAGTAAAGGCGTGATACATGCAACAGAAACATTGGTTGTGGGAACTGTGCAGTGAAGAAAATAGAACGGAAAGGTTATAGAGAAATGGGAATACCTGGTGTGATGCTGGAATGATTCCCTATATTTAAGAAAGGAAAGAGAGAGTTTATAAAGCTAAGAACTGGGGGCAGGGAGTGGGGAGGGTGAGACTCTAAGAGTCTGCACATTAGAAGAAATGGGCAACTATGGTTGCTGCTGTGGGCCAAAAAGAATGCAAAGCTTGTTTTTCCCAAAACCACTGAGTGTCTACTGCCATTTCTAAGCATGGAGTAAAAGAATGATCTATGTACTGAGATGTGGCAAGGAGATACATACGCAAAGGACCATGTGGTTGGCCAGTATCCCCCAACCCCGCTTTGGTCTTTCTCTTCAATAACATAAGATGAAAACGTACTAAAAACTCAGTTCTTTAAAAATAAAGAAGTTTCTTTAAAAGTAAATAAATCCACTCTTGAAGGTGTGGCAGAAAGCCCGAAAGTATTTCCTCTTTGTCAATGGAGGGCAAACAATTGCTTCTATGATGTCTGGTCTCTATACTCTCCACGAATCACTGTCTTGAAATGGTAATGTATTAATTGTGAACTTGCCAGAATCTGTGGGCATCCGGGCATGCCTGTAAGGGATTTTCTTCATGAGGCTAATTGATAAGAGAAAAATCCATCGCTACCATTAGATCACTCTCTAGACAGGCGATACTGAAGGGTATGAAATAGAGAAGAGGAGCTAAGCATTAGCATGCGCTCATGACTAGCTGTTCTTGATACAGACTCTGTGTGACATGCTTCTTCAAGCCCTGCGCCTTGACTCCTTCACTAGGGTAGGCAGAAGGAATCCTTCCTCTCAAAGTTGCTTTGGTCAGGATACTTTCTCAAAACAACAGTAGAAGAAACTAAGACAGTGGATTTAACTCTATAGGACACATTCAAAGCTACCTTCTCATTTCATCCCTGACCAGTCGGGCAACTTTCTGTGTGGTGGTCAGTGGGGATGCCTTTAGAGACAAAGCCTCCTAGGTGACTGACCTTCACCTGGTGTCCCTTCAGGTATCAGGTCCTGCTGACCCTCCCCTGAGGCAGCCTGTGCTGTGACCAACTTTCCTTCCTAGAAGACTCTGTTACTGATTTAGCCCTGTGCCTGTTTCTGCTATTAGCCTGTATTCTCAAACCAGCCCGATTATCAATCAGAAGTTTTTATTGTCTCATTTCCCTGCTCCTGACTTGTTCAGCAGTGTCGCCTTTGTGTTGATTAATTTAAATTACAGAGCTACCACTTATCTAACCTCTCCAGTCTTATCCCAAGTCAGTGTCTGTAACTTTTCCACTGTATGCCTGGCTCGCTGCAGTTTAGGGTTGGCTTCTCTCTCTCTCTCTCTCTCTCTCTCTTTGTGTGTGTGTGTGTGTGTGTGTGTGTGTGTTATCAGAATCCTCTAATGTTTACCCATTAGCAGCAAATCTGTAATTCATATAACAATTGTCTTTACAACTTAACATGAAATGTGCTTATTGGCCATCTTTCTGTCTATAGCAGAATACCCGAGACAGGCTACTTAGAGAGTAGGGAGAAGTCTATTTAGCTCATGGTTTTATTCAAGCTCAGCACCATCTGTGTACAAGTGCTGCTGAAATTAGTACTTCCTTTAAGCATTTTTATGCCTTATTTCAAATTATATGAGAAAATCATTTCAAAACTTGCCATTAAAACCACAATCATTGACTCAAACACACCAGAGAATGCGGGGAAGCAGGAATGACTTTCTTCTAACCCTGCAGGTTTGGCTAAAAGTCCTAGCAACTTTTGAATCCCTGAGCATAAGCTAGTCCTAAGAACATACCATCCTGAAGTGGATGGAAGCAGCTTGCACTTGCAGCTCCGTAGCCGTTCTTGGAATGGAAACTTTATTCGGTAGTTCTTGGGTGGCCATGCTAAAGTGGCATCTTCATAGGCCTAATGTAGAAAGGATAATGGGGGTGATAACATCCTTTCTTCTGGAAATCATCGAGACCTCTGACAGCAAAGAGAGCTGCAAGTAGAACCTGAGTCAGGCCCTCTTTGTGAGGAAAGTTCCACTTCAGCTTTCCCTCCCCGAGGGAAGGCTTCTTAGCCCTACATTTGTACCTATTCAAAGTAGTATCCTGCGTCTTGCTTTGGGAGAGTGTGCATGCCTAGTCTGTTAGTGTGTGAGTGCATAACAGGTCCTGATCATGACCCATTGGACTGCAGTTCATTTCTTTTGCAGCATTCTGGAAGATTAAAAAACACATTATGAGTATCAAGTTGGTTTTAGCTCTGGATATGTGCCTTGGCTCAGTAAAGAGGATTTCAGGTGTCTGGGACATTAGAACTAACACAGGAAAAGAGAGG